AATATTTCTGGTAGGAATTTTCTCGTTGGTAGCTACAAACAAAAAGAAGTCAATTGTTTTTTTTTTTCATCTAGAAGGTGTACACTCATTTTCAGGCCAACGAAATTGAACGCTTAAGTGCATGGCTGAATCCGTTGGGTGAAAATGTGGAAGTCGGAGAAACGAGCATTGAGCAGTGGCGTAAGTCAACATTTCCGGACACAAGAGCGGAGGCTCGACTTTTGCGAGAAAATGTCAAACTTGCATGGGATATTTGCCCAAATCTGGCTATATATATGCCGTCTAGGTATATTAAATAACAGTTGTTCATTCTAGATAAGACAAGTGGAACAAAGGGAAAGAGGGGAGGGAAAGAAGACAGGTACAACAAGAGAGGTAGTAGTAGCAGTTTCAGCAGGTTGTGTTTTTAAAAAAAAGAAGCGGCAAGTCTTTACGCTGATTTTTCTGTTAAAGTGTGTTTTTTAATTTGTTTTAACTAGTTTTCTTTTGCAGGTTTCGTGGATGTACTGCTTGCCAAACGGCTGTTCAAGAGATGCTGGCAAGCTCACCGGAGCTAGTGACCGATTTGCCAGAAGCTCTCCTTTTGCTGCTTGGAGAAGGAAGAATTCTTGAGGAAAAAACGGAGGTTATTATTTTTTCGTACAAATGCCAGCTTTAAGTACTTTAAGATCGGCTGTGCCTTCAACTGTACCGCAAGGAGGGCCCATTTACGATTCTTTCACTAATTTTTTTTGTAAATTCGAATTGCTACATACTGAGGGTAACAGCCACTAGCTTGCTAGTAAGCAACCTTTGAATGAGGACGGCACTATCAGCCTTACCAGCTTTTGACTGCCGCAGATTGTGTAATACCACTAGAGGTTTTGGGATTTTTAAGCCAGCGCGTTTCGGACTTTTTCCGACGTTCAATTTATTCTGATCGTTTTATGTGGTGGCAGATACAGAATTTTTTATGCCTTTTTGTCGTGCAGCGCTAGAGCGTTGCAACAGGCAGCAAAAACGCATATTGCAACGATCCTGTCAGTGTGTGTGTATGTTTGTGTGTCTGTGTTCGTCTGTCCGGGTATTTCAACTCGCCAACCACACAAGCTTTGAAGCTGAAATTTTACCAGTGTGTTCCCCAGCCAAGTGCCACCCCAGTACCGCGATATCAACTCTCACGCACGTCTGGACCCCGCGTACGAGCACATGAAAGTTTTGGCGCGAAAACTGATAACTCGGGAACGAGAAAAGCAAGAAAACTGAAACCTTGGGGGGATGTTTCCTACCTGAGTATAACGAAAAGATTTCAAATTCAGCTGCCCAGGACTGCCCGGGGCTTACGTACGGCACGTGAAAATTATGGCGGGAAAATTCATTACTCGGAAATAAGAAAAGCTAGAAAGTCGAAACTTTGGAGAAATGTTCCCTACTCATGTACGACCAAAAGCTTTCAAACTCAGCTCCCTAGGACCGCCCAGGGCTCACGTACGGGCACGTGAAAATTTTTGGCGCGAGAATTACTCGCCCGGGGACGGGAAAAGCTAGAAAGCTGAAACTTTATGGTAATGTCCCCTACTCATGTACATGCAAAATCAGGTGTTTAGAGGCGCCCGGAGCCCACATACGAGCGTGTGGAAGTTTTGGGGCGAAAATTACTAACTCGAGAACGGGATAAGCTAGAAAGCTGAAACTTTAGGGGAATGTTTCCTACTCATGTACGACCAAAATCAGGTGTTTGGAAGCTCCTGGGCCCACGCACGGGCAAGTGGAAATTCCGGCGTGAAAACCACTAACCCGGGGACGAAAAAAAGCTAGAAAGCTGGAACTTTAGGGTGGTCTCCCCTACTCGTGCATGACCAAAACATTTCAAATTAACCTCCTTAAAACTGTCCGATACTCACGTACGGACACACGAAAATTTTGGTGGGGAAACTACTAACTCGGTAACGGGGAAAGCTGAAGGCTTTAATTTTAAGGAAATGCCAAATTTAACTCTTATAATGCGGCCTTTTTCGCAGACCAACAACTTTCCATTTGTCGGGTCACTGAAGCCGACATCTACAACTGACATGCCACATAGCTGCACAATTAATTTCCCGAACTTTGAGGGCCAGTATGTCACAGGGTTTGCTACTGTGATTCGTTGCAATTTTGCTACGGCACGAAAAATGCAAAAACGCATAATCGCACCGGCCCGCCTGGTGCGTTCCAGCCTGG